TATTCCTGCTGGCTAACTAATCTTTACAAAGCGATTGAAAATTCACCAAACCTGATACTATCTCCAATTCTTAATATAATATCTTATTTGATTTTTATTTTAGTCCTAAATATAAGACCCCAGTCTATTTTGTCTCTAATATTTATGTATTTTTTTTCAAGATAATTCTTCTAACAATGGTAGTTCTAGTTAATGCACTTGATTAGTAAGGATATTTTAGGAAAGACAACACCTATTTATGACAAATAACTAATTTAACTTCTTTCCTTAATTTCTTCAAATTAGTCAACTAACTCTTATAATTAGGATCAGAAGTAGTACAATACAACTTATCATGGGTTCATTCATGTCAGCGTTAGAGGACAAATTGGTAGACAAATGCTTATGTATGATAGATTGTTCTTCAATAAAGGCAGCTTTCAATAAACATTGGATATCTTAGAGGCTGCTTCATCCAATCAATTGGATCATCTGAAGCAATCTAAATGATAAAAAATAGTACTATTTAGATATATTTAATTGATGACTACCATAAGTCCATGCATAATTGCAACAGAGTTATTGTCTTGTCATCTTAAGGCACTGCAAACTACACTCTATATTTAAAGTTTACCTTTGCCAACTTTTTGGCAAAATAAATTGGATCAGAATAAGAATGCAGAGTCTCCAATTTTGCCCGGCCTTCAATTTTTTCGACACCAACAATGACATGCTGCAATTTACAGAACAGTAAGCATGACCACAAAAACTATCATGTGGTAAAGATTAAAGACACAAAATAAATATTGAGTCATGAGATTGAATGGAAGAAAGAAAGGAAAAGTGAGCGATTAATATAATCTCCCAGGCATTGAATATACTCATGGAATAATGTAAGATAAGCCGATAAGCCATGATTTTTTGTGTTGAATGCTGCATAAGAAAACAGACATTCCTAGAGCACATTAGTCGATGCTTTTGCAAAAGCGAGAGAGGCTTCATCGTAGTTTAAAAGTGGGATGTGATATTATTAGACTATATTTAAGGAGGACATAAAGAAATGTGAGTTTTCTTCTTATTTTCTCTCTATACGTGGAGAAAAAAGTTATAGAAAAAATAAACCGGTCTTATATTCCATTTTCTCTCTTACTTTTCTTTTCTCTCTCTCCTCATTCAAACAGGAAAAAAAAAAACTCATTTCTTCCCTTATTTTTCTCGTTCATTTCCTTTCCTCCCCATTTTCTCTCCATCCAGACATGGGATTAGTCCCTCCAAATTGTTTATGACGGTTTGAATTAGACTGCTGATTAAAAAAAAAATAGATTGATACTGGGGGCGTTCATGAGGCCCAGTAACCCAATATACCCGCCTAAGCCTACCAAAAAAATATCCTGCCCTGCACAAAAAAAAAAGCCCGAAGAAAAAAATAGACATTTTCAAGCCGGGCTATTCATGGGCAGGGTCGGGCCACGGGCATGGCATGCAACCATGCCCATTTGGCTATGCCTGAAATATATATAATTATTTATATTATAATATATATATAGTGTAATATTAATATACCATATTTTATTATATTTTAATACGTAAAAAGAACATTATTCCCTTATATTATTAGACTTTATATTTTTAAAGTTCTAGTTTTTTTAAGGAAAAAAACCACATTTTTTAACTTTTTAAAATTATCTTGCTATGTATTATAATTGTCTTTTAACTTTTATATTGATATTACGTCATATATCATAAAATGATACTAATTATACCAATTTGAATGTAATATATAGATCTCTATAAATTATATTAAACTATAAGTTAATAATATAATTGAACATGTTAATATAGCTTGTATTTTTTTTATATGTTTTGTTATTTTCTCAACTTTGTGCATTTGGACTTTAAGACTTTAATTACAATTTTTTTTATTGTCTTGTTTTTAATAAATTATGGATATTGTTAAATTCTTAAAGCATGGATATCTGTTAAGACATACGGTAATTTCATGACTCAAGTTATAAATTTGGGTAAGGAAAGCCCACTCTGCCCAGCCCACAATAACTCAGTCCAAAATAGCATTGGTTTCTATTGGACAGGACAGGTATCGGACTGGATTTTGTAGCTCGCTTATCTTTTGGGTTGGTATCAGGCAGGGATCATGCCCTGCCTATACACAAACCTAGTTGATACTATCATACTGGCAGCTGAGTGAAAAAGAAAACTTTAGAATTCTCTTTAAGGATCATCTTTTAGGATAAGCTTTAGGTACTCATTCTAAGATGAGCACGATTCCCCCTAAAATGGCTAGCAATTTTAGGAGTTTCTGGGAATATTCTAATCACAATTTTGAGAACTCAAAATCCAATGGTTGACAGAGACGCACTAAAAAAAACTGGGGAAAAATTCGTTTAAGTGAATTAAGCGTTCAACAAGTAAAAAAAAAAATAAAGGAAGAGAGATGAATAGAAGGGCGAAGATTCGGAGGAAGAAATGTAATGTGCCACTCTACACCCAAATTTAAGTCGGAAAAAAGTTTTGATTATAAATTAAGTCACTTGTAACATATTTAATACTTGTTTTTTAATTTTATCTTTGTTTAATTCTTACTGGAAAAAGAGAAAGAAGAGAGATATGGGAATGATTAGTAAATATAGAAAGAGAAAGAGAAAAAACTTTAATAATTCTCTAGTGGATTTCAACATATTTCATATAAATTAAGAAAAATCTTAAATTACATTAATTTTTTTCCTTAAAATATAATAATCTTCCAACTTTATTCCTATTTAATATAAACACATTTTAAAAAATAATCATTTACACTATAATAAATAAAGAACAAAATCATTCATTCATACTAAAAATTTAACAAGATGAATAGGATCAAGAAAAACTCTTTCTTTACCTTATAAATACGATCATAGCAGTAAGGGTAGAATTAAAAAATTTTGTTACTTTAATGCATTTTTAAGATGCAAAAATACGTCACAAATAACTTATATTAAGAATAGTGAACACCTTACCTTGGGTAAGGACGAAGATGGATTTCGATGTGACTTTAAGGGGGTGTTTGGGAAACCCAAAATCATGGTTTCAGAAGTACTTTTCCGCAAAACGAGGTAATTTCCTCCACATATTTACTTCGTAATCCGTAAAAGCACTTCTGAAACCATGGTTTGGTTTTTATCCAAACACCCCCTAAGAGTGTGTTTGGGTGACACCCCAAACCATGGTTTGGGGACCCAAACCATGGTTTGGGATGTCAATCACCCAAACACCCCCTCTAAAAACCAAAACCATGGTTTTGGAAAAAGCAAAATTTTTTTGCTTTTGGAGAAAAAAAGGAGAGTGTGAGAGCCTATATGATATATATCTTGTTATTTTTTTTATAAACATATTTTTTGATAAACATATTTAATCTTATATTTTATAAATATATATACACATTAATTATTTATTAATTATATTATCTTATGTATTATTAATTATGTTGGTAAAAAATATATTATTAACAATTTTATTCCTTCAAATTAAAATATATCATAAAATCTATTTTTTCTGTAATTATCATATTAACTTATGTTTTTTTTTAGTAATTTGTATATATAAAAAGTGCTCCTGATAATAACTATCCAAACACTCTCACTTCTCAGAATCACTTTTTTATAAAATCTATTCTTCACCGAATCTATTCTCCAGAATCACTTTTCCAAATCACGGTTTGGTTTCATCCAAACACACCCTAAATGCTCCATGACATGTCTGATTTTGAGCGCTCAAATGCATTGAAAGGGTTGGATGTGAAGCTTCTGAGAGATGAGGAGATAGTGGCCGTTGAGAGGATCTGTTCCCATGAGAACTTGCTTGCTGGCCTTTGCAATTTGTAATTTTAGTTCAATTTTGAAGTTTTATATCATGTAGTGAACTTTTATAATTTATGCATAATGACTACTGTTTAAGTAAGTGGATATTCAGTATCAATTAAAAATTTAAAAAAATCAGACCAGAACAACCAAATTGAACTAGTTGGATAAAAAATCGATTTATTATTCAGTTCATAATTGGAGGTAAAATCAGGAAACAAAAACCAGTCAAACTGGTATAAAACTTTTGAACCGGTCAATGTTCTTTTTAAATTTTTGAAAAATTTAGATCATATTTGTAAGCTATATAATAAGCAATGAAAAAAGACGCTAATAATGAAGGGTGCGAGATGTATGGCCGCGCGTATATATTATAAAAACAATAAATTTGAAATAATTATATGTAGTACTATCTTGAGTCTTAATTATAAGAGCTAGTTAACTAGTTTAAGAAAAGTAAGAAAAGAAGTTAAGTTAGTTATTTGTAACAAATATATGTTGCCTTTCTCAAAATATTCTTGCTAATTAAGTATATTGGTTATAACTACTATTTTTAAGAAGACTATCTTGGAAAAAATATATAAATATAAGAGACAAAGTAGATAGAAATCTTATATTTAGGACTAAAATAAAAATCAAACAAGGTCTTATATTAAAGATCGGAGGGTAGGTAGTATATGGATATTACATATCATAATTATTTCTTTTATTTAAATTGTTAGGTTAAAGAGAAAGCAACTTCTCACCTTTTTATCTCCAAATTTCATATACTAAAAAAAATAATATTTAATAGTAGAAACAAAACAAAAATTAAACTCATTCGATAAATTTAATTTTGTATAATAATATTTTATAAAATATTACATATAATATTATGTTTAACATATAAAATCAGAAATATATTTCATAGTCCAGTGGCTGATCAAATTTTTAGATGCCTGATACCAGCTCTATAATTTAAATTGCTTAAATACTTATTTGGTTGGTCATTTAATTAGACTCGGGAACTCATAGGTTTGATTTCATATTGATTCACACTGTACTTGTGTTTCGCTTCTTCCTCAGAAAAGAGACGATCAAACAATTCCTAATCATGTTCCTTGCGAATCGGATCATCCATCCATATAATATGCAGAGAAAAAAAAAAAACTTCAGATATCAAAATGATATCTCAATTATAACACTGATTTCATTAGATATCTTACAAACTATAATTTCTTTTTTCCGATCCAGTGCCGTGTTCGGGCATGATACTGTAACCTCTTTTGAACTTTCTACTTCAGGTTTGTACAAGAAGAATATGATTTGACTATATTTAGGACCAGGAGAATATGATTTGACTACAACAACAATCTTTACCGGCTCCAACTGTGAGTAACTCTTCCAATGGGAATTTTTTTCCCCCATTCATAAGGTTCAAATCCTTCATGTTGCTTTAAGAAATCAAGTCTCTTCTATTGGACCCAACCATTGTTGGTCCTTGTAATAATTTTTTATGTAAAGTATAACATCAGCTTGGAAATTGAATGACAAGAATGCATTTAGTTTAAGAGTCAGGCTTATTAATATTAGGCAAATTAACTTGTAAGGAAGACAATCCAGTGGTACCAGGGTCGCTAAGTTGATCAAGCTGTTTCTTGCCTCTGCGAAGCAAATATTCAATGTAGAGAAAATTTTTGCGATCTACCTGCTTGCCATTGCGTCTGAATTCTTCTGATACCACTGATTCTATCTTGCGTCTTTCTTCTTCAGACTTGGAGCGGGCTACTCGTAGAAACCCTCTGTACAGGCTAAGTACTTGCTTCTGCATTCCAGAGAGCCTTGGACCTCTTGAGGCTCCCATTGAACCTAGCCACTTCTAGCAACGGATATGACGCGGCTTTTCACTGTACTTCTGAGAAAATCAAGAAACCACGCTCAAAATCGAAAAGCCAAGATAGGGATACATGCACTTTACGGGATATATTACAATCGAAAAAACTTTGAAGATTTAGATTTGTAAGGCGCACAAACGCACATGCACATATAGTTATATAGATAAACTTGAAAACAAGGCCAGCATCAAAATCCCCCCTAAGGCGAATAACAAATATGTATGCATGGATATGAATAGTATACATCAGGACAGGGGCGGGACCGCAGGATGAACATCATACCGCACAGAATTGAACCTGAGCTCTTAAAATATCCATCAAAATTCTATTACATGAGTATTTTGCTCAATCTTCGAAACAAGGAGCAGTCTAGCACTTGACTTTACTCAGATGCTAATTTATGTTATAGGCAAACAACACTTAAGAAGGGACTGACATTTTTGGGGTCATCATATTTACAAGTTGAAATCACCAGAAGACACCGCCAACATGTGTTTGACACACATATAGACATGTCAAAAATATCATTTTTAACAAGGACGAACACATAAACACAGCAGCTTGGACTCAATAAACATGGACAAGACACAAAGGACCCCAAGGAAGAGTGAACAACCAAAATAATAAACTAGAATGAGATACCAGAAACTTCAATTGATGAGATATCTAAAGTTCTTTCCTGATGTTCCTTTATTGCGTGAATCATGAACAATTTTAATAATATAGATTTACAACCCACATTTATTTAATTAAAAGGTTTAATAAATAATATCATAAGATACAAAGAATATACGATAATGTTATTTCTCCATGCTGTGTTGAGTTGTTTCGTGTGTGTTTATTTGAAGTTTCACATGTCAAGCTACCATGTCTAGCCAAAATATCTGAGCTTCTAACAACTCAGAAAAGGTCCATAATCGAATGTCTAAGATGATCAGCTTGCATCAGTCGTCATGATATAATATAAAAAAATCATATTCAAGGTCCAAAGATCAAGACAAATACATATTTATGAAAGAACTTGAAAAGCAAACAAATAAATGAATGCAGATTTTTTGAAATAAAAATCAAACTCCTAACAAAAATAAATAGAATATTTCTTAAAGTTCATAGGACTCCGTGGCTCCTTCGAGAACCAAGCAAATAAAATTTCCTCAGGCTCGAATTGACAGAGCAAAAGGCCTTAGAACCATTCTGCCAAACCCAGTCTAAAACCACAGGCCAGGCAGACCAAAAAGAAACTACAGTAATCTAGGATGAAAAAACAGAAATGCGGATAAATGTTAGAGCAACATGCTCATGAAAAAAAAGCAAAAGAAAGCATGTCTCCGGGGGGAAAAACCGAAGAAAAGAAAAGAAGCCAAATTAGTCTGCAGCACGCTTCAATCAACCAGGACAAGAACTAGAAACAATGGATACGAGACCAGAACAGAAAAAGGAGAAGGAGAAAACCCAAGACACCAATATGATAAGAAACCCATTTCATCTTTACCCTTCAACAGCGTCAGTTCCAAATAGAACAAGGGAAAGGAAGTAGAGGCATGTGATATTACGGCATTACCATTTTTAATACATAATCCCGAAACAGAAGAAGAGATGGAACACCACATTTTCAATCTCAAAATTACGGCCAAAGGATAAACAAATCCACAAATCGTGGGAATAACCACTATTCATATACCAGTCAATGACCCCTCAAACTGTACAAACACAACAACATCCTCAAAAAACATTCAGAATATAAAGCTCCTGCTTTTTTCTTTTCTCAAACACGTAATAGGCATTCCCTCCCCTCCCCAGCGTCTCAGATATTTCAGGCTTCCACGCTCGAAAGGAACATTCAAAATTCAAAATCTTAAGCAATTCGATCGCAATTATCTCAAGCTCCAGAGAATTATGAAAGATTGCCAATTCCCTTCACGCATGGATCCAACAGATTATGCTACTAAGAAAACAGAAAACAGAAAAAATGATGATAACAAGATTGAAAAGGCATTCTTCCCCTAAACCACATCAAGTAACCCACCCTGCTTTTGCGTTAAGGATGTCCGTTGAAAGCATTAATGGTAAATCAAAAATTTCATCTAACAGCAATGCTCTCAATCCTTTTCCTCGTCTGCTTATTCTCTTCGTTATTGAGGCAACAATTCCAGTTTCAAAAATGCGAATTGAGAAAGCAACAATTCCATTTCAAAAAAAATCATCACATCCAGAATTAACATTCAGAAACAACAAATCCAAAGAAAGAAAATAGCCACGACACAAGTAAAGAAGAATTGGGCAGATACCCAGCACTGTTCACGGCTTCACATAAACGTCATCACATTCCTCACAACAACAGACCCAACGCCCGTGCAATAGCAGGGAGAGCAGCAGATTCACGGATTTGTGGGGATGGCGGTCTGTGAGAGAGAAGAGCCAGCGTGAACTGCCGTCGAACACGATCAGCCAATGGAGACAGGGAGGGCTGCCGGCGACACGACGGATTTACGATTACAGAAAATACAGATTGCGCCCACTAAACTTCTTTTCGGTTTTCAAATATTATAGTCGTGCAATTAACTAATTTAGGTGAATTAAATATATTACTCCTCCGGTCCTAATTATAAGACCCAATTGACTTATTTGAGGAGATTAGGAAGTAAGTTAAGTTGGTTTATTTATAATAAATAGTGTTGTCATTCCTAAATATCCTTGCTAATTAAGTATATTGGCTAAAACTATCATTATTAGAAGGATTATCTTGGAAAAAAATGCATAAATTAAGAGACAAAATGGATTGGGGTCTTATAATTAGGACCAAATAAAAAGTCAAATGGGGTCTTATAATAAGGACCGAGGAGTATTTAATTAGTTAATATGATTTTTTTTCTAAATATCCTAAGTATCTTCTTTAATCCCCGTCCTTCCTGTCCTATTTGATTGTTGTTAGAAGAATATCAATAGGATTAATTTGAAAAAATTGATTAACATTCAAAATAATAGGTGGAAAATGACATATAAACTTGAAAATTCTCAATCATCACTTGAATAAAGTAAATCTCATTTCATCACTTCAGATCAAATTGGGCTTTTCAAGTTAAATGGAATGACCAAATTGCACTTAACGATTACAAAATGTGGGCACCACATTTACTTGTATCAGATGAAGTCTGGTAGGAAGGAAAAAACAGAGAACATGTGCAATGCTGAATCAAGGTGAGGAGAAAGTGCTGGTTTGAAAGTGTAAGTATTTTTTTTTGAAATCATATTACTCTTTTCATCCTCCTAATATCACCGTGGTGTCCTATTTTTTTTCTTTTCATTTTGGTGATTTTGGGTTTTGGATAATCAAAGATTCAAATGGAGCTGAAGTGCGCCATTACGGAAGTCGAAGATTCTTCAAATTGGGTGTAGGTTCTTCCTTTTCTTAGGTGTGAGAACAGTTAGAAATGTGAACATATGACTTAGTGTTGGACAGGGTTTGGGTTTTGACAAGTTTGGAAAATTTTGAAGAAGTTCGATGATGATTTTGCTGATGGAATGTCTGAATATGAACAGTAATAATTCATGAACTGTGTGGTTAATAGCAAAAGTGTAGTTTGTAAAATGCTATAACGAAATTGTTAATGTAGAAAGTGACTATGTTGGGTTGATTTCGAAAATTGATAAAATATCTTTGTTAAAGAACTGACATTGTGATGAATTTTTTCTTCTTCATTGTTACAGGCTAGAATGCAAAAAGACATGTAATATTGGGTTAACATCCTCAAAGGAACTTTTTAAAATATAAAGGGGAAGTTAAATATAATGATTAAAATGTGAGAGTGAAAATAATAAAAGAGGAGATAAGACTTCAAAATCTGAAGTCAATGATATTAGAATAGTTTGAAATTGATGTAATGGTTGTGTCATGAAAGCTTGCCATTAATTGTATATTCTGTAAATACTATTAGTGAAGCTCTAGTTTGTGGAAAATGTCATTACTGAACTTGTTATATACTTTAAATGTATTGCTAATTACCGCAAAAGTTGCAATGCAAAAGTGCCCTACTTATTCACTATAAAAGTTTTGTTAATGTTCATTATTTAAAAAAAATTAATTGAATGTGTCTTTTATATTGATACAATAACATCAGACAACATTTTTGATCTCACGAGATTTTTTTCAACTTTTATAATGAAATTAACAAGTATGGTAATGTTATTAACAACTTGAATGACAGCATTAACAGCAACTTTTCCAAGCGCAACTTTCAAATTGGAAATTTTTCAACTTTTGTAATGAGTTTACAAGAGTTGTTAATAGTTATATTGAAGTTGTTAATAGTGTCAATGAAGTTGTAAAATTGGCCATTTTTGCATTTTCTTGAATTCTAGTTGTTAAGGGAAATACTGAAATTGTTAACAGAGATAATAAACTTGTTAACCGCTATACGAAAGTTATAAAATTTTCCATTCATGATTATATAACCTATCTCTCCCAGTTTTAACAAGTTCTGATATGAGGTGATTAATTACTATAAATGAGTTGTTAATAATTATATTAAAGTTGTTAATAGCGTCGCTGAATTTGTAAAATTGGTCATTTTTGCATTTCCTCGAATTCCTGTTGTTAAAGGTGATACTGAAGTTGTTAACAAAGATAATGAACTTGTCAACCGCTATACGAGAGTTGTGAAATTCCCCATTCATGATTATACAACCTATCTCTCCAGTTCTAACAAGCTCTGATATGAAGTGGTTAATGACTATACATGAGTTGTTAATAGTTATACTGAAGTTGTAAAATTAGCTATTTTTGCATTTTCTCGAATTCTTATTATTAAAGATGATACTAAAGTTGTTAATAGATATAATGAACTTGTTAATCACTATACGAAAGTTGTAAAATTTTCCATTCATGATTATACAACCTATCTCTCCTAGTTCTAAACAAGCCCTGACATGAAGTGGGCAATGGCTATATATGAGTTGTTAATAATTATACTGAAGTTATAAAATTACCTATTTTGCATTTCCTCCAATTCCTATTATTAAAGGCGATACTAAAGTTGTTAATAGAAATAATGAACTTATTAACCGCTATACGAAAGTTGTAAAATTTCCCATTCATGGTTATACAACCCATCTCTCCTAGTTCTAACAAGCTCTGATATGAAGTGGTTAATGACTATACTGAAGTTGTTAACAGCATCACTGAAGTTGTTAAATTAGCCATTTTTGCATTTCCTCAAATTCCTGTTGTTAAAGACAATACTAAAGTTGTTAATAGATAATAAACTTGTTAACTGCTATATGATAATTGTAAATTCTCCATTCATGATTATACAACCTATCTCTCCCAGTTCTAACAGCTCTGATATGAAGTGGTTAATGGCTATACATGAGTTGTTAATAGTTATATTGAAGTTATAAAATTAACTATTTTTGCATTTCCTCGAATTTCTATTGTTAAAGGTGATACTGAAGTTGTTCATAGAGATAATGAATTTGTTAACTATTATACGATAATTGTAAAATTCCCTATTTATGATTATACAATCTATCTCTCCCAATTCTAACAAGTTCTTATATGAAGTGGTTAGTGGCTATACATAAGTTGTTAATAGTTATATTGAAGTTGTAAAATTAGCTATTTTTGCATTTTCTCGAATTCCTCTTATTAAAGGTAATATTGAAGTTGTTAACAGAGATAATGAACTTGTCAGCCGCTATACGAGAGTTGTGAAATTCCCCATCCATGATTATACAACCTATCTCTCCCAGTTCTAACAAGCTCTGATATGAAATGGTTAATGACTATACATGAGTTGTTAATAGTTATACTGAAGTTGTAAAATTAGCCATTTTTACATTTCCTCGAATTACTATTTTTAAAGCGATACTGAAATTGTTAATAAAGATACTGAACTTGTTTATCTCTATACGACAGTTGTAAAATTTTCCATTTATGATTATACAACTTATCTCTCCCAGTTCTAACAAGCTCTGATATGAGGTGGTTAATGGCTACATAGGAGTTATTAATAGTTATAGTGAAATTGTTAACAATGTCAATGAAATTGTAAAAATGACCATTTTTGCATTTCCTTAAATTCCTGTTGTTAAGGTGATATTGAAGTTGTTAATAGAGATAATGAATTTGTTAACCAATATATGACAATTGTTAATAGAGATAATAAACATTAACAAAACTTTTATAGTGAACATTAACAGAACATTAACAAAACATTAATAATGAACTTGTTAAACGCTATACAAGAGTTGTGAAATTCCCCATTCATGCTATCTCTCCTAGTTCTAACAAGTTCTGATATGAGGTGGTTAATAGCTATATAGGAGTTATTAATAGTTATAGTAAAGTTATTAACAGTATCACTGAAGTTGTAAAATAACCATTTTTGTATTTCCTTAAATTCCTGTTGTTAAAGGTGATACGGAAGTTGTTAATAGAGATAATGAACTTGTTAACCAGCATATGACAGTTGTTAATAGAGATCATAACGAACATTAACAAAACTTTTATAGTGAATAAGTAGGGCGCTTTTGCATTGCAACTTCTATAGTAATTAACAACACATTTAAAGCAAATAACATGTTTAGTAATGGCATTTTCCACAAGCCAGAGCCTCACTGACAGTATTTACATAATATACAATCAATGACAAGCTTTCATGCCACAACCATTACATCAATTTCAAACTATTCTAATATCATTGACCTTAGATCTTTAAGTCTTATCTCTTCTTTTATAATTTTTACTCTCACATTCTAGCCTACAATAAAGAAAAAAAATTCTTCACAATATCAGTTCTCTAACAAAGTTATTTCATCAATTTTCAAAATCAACCCAATATAATCACTTTCTGCATTAACAACTTTGCTATAGCGTTTTACAATTACACTTTCACTATTAACCACACAGTTAACGAATTATTACTGTTCATATTTAGACTTTCCATCTGCAGAGTCATCACTGAGCTTCTTCAAAATTTTTCAAACTTACCCAGAACCCAAACCCTGTCCAGCACTAACTAAGCCAAATGTTTAAATTTCTAAACGTTTACACACCTAAAAAACAGAAGAACCAACGCCCAAGTTGAAGAATCTTCAAATTTCGTAATGCCGCACTTCAGCTCCGTCTGAATCTTTGATTACCCAGAACCCAAAACCATTAAAATGAAAAAATAGAACACCATATTGACACTAAGAGAATGAAAAAAGTCATATGATTTCGAAAAAACATTTACACTTTCGAACCAGTACCTTCTCCTTACCTTCAATCTAGCATTGTGCATGTTCTCTATTTTTTCCTCCCTACCAGACTTCATCTGATGCAAGTGAATGTGGTTTTCACGTTTCGTAATTGATAAGGGCAGTTTGGTCATTCTATTTAACTTGGAAATCCTAATTTCGTCTGAAGTGATGAAAATGGGATTTGCCTTATTCAAGTGATAATTTGGGGATTTCCAAGTTTATATGTCATTTTTATGTTATTTTCCCATAATAG